CATGAAAACCCACATCCACCTCATGATGTCATCAGGTGGTATGACATTTTCCATATATACAGAATGCACTGAATTGAGTTATACGTAATGACTGATCAAAATGAAGGTGCCCAATAGTAGTTTTAGGCAATTTATATGATGCACAATATGGGACCATTACAAAAATACCCCATGTTAAGTCAATGGGGTTTGAATTAGAATTGAATTAGATGTTATGGAGAATGTTACAGTGATTGTTAATAAAGTCTGAATCTTGAATTGTATGTTTTGGCTTGGACAGTTATGGTATGCTTGTATGGTGACCTTTTATATTGGAATAAAAGCAGAGTAACATTAAATGGGTTACATTACAATTACAGTACCAGATAAGTTCGATTAGTCAAAAACATCCAAATTGTGGATTGAAAAGTGTGAAAAATCCCTCAGTCGTCCAGGTGGAAATCTGGTTTGTCGACTGGACAAAAGTTTCTTCAGTTCTGAACTGAAGACAAATGCAGCTTCAGCATAGTTCTGAACTGAAGAAGCGGCTTGGATGAGCTGCAAAACATATTCGATCAATTAAACTTTTGTCCAGTCGACAAACTGAATTTCTCTTTTGCCATTTTTGAAAAGGGACATCGTTTCATATTTTAACCGATATTTCAATGTTGACACAAAATTTGTCTCTCAATGTCTGAATTCAAAATTTGCAACACTTTTTTTGCCCATTGAAATGCCCCAGTAAGTGTACCATACAGATCTAATGCTGAAACATGATACATTTTCATTGTCAGAAAAAAAATCTACATTCATACACCCAAAAATTGTCATGTACAATGTCATTTAGTATAATCTTTTCGTCATTTCACTCAATTTTTCTCAATCTATATTAGATGGTAACACATTTAAAGGTCCTACATTACGCAAAATTGACTTTTGTGAGCTTTAAACTGTGTTAGAATGTTGTTAAGTCATCAAAAAATACTTAGAGTTATGTTTCGTTTCATTCACACTTCTCTCCAAATCTCCAAAGCTCAAAATACTCAGTTCCACCTTGCGATGTCATGTAGAGGCAGCTTTTATGTTAACATTAGTTCAGCAGAGATTGGTATTTCCATAGCTGAAATTATCCATATCATTATAATGAAGGCGTATGGGGTTTCAAAACACACAAAAAAACTTCTTGTATTACCTCATGAGTGTTTTCTGTTTGAGAAAAGAACTCAGCCTAGATTTGCAGAACGTTAAACATGTGAATGATGAACACAACTCCAGGTCTGTTTGCGATGACGAAACATTATAACATCGGTCAGAAAATAGCGTAATACAGGCCCTTTAAGTCAACATACATTTGCGTGACAAGAATCCCAAAACGTCATTGTATATCTGATTAGCGAGGCATCTAAACGGGAGCTAGTGCCATTTGCGATTCCCTTGAGGTCTTAAGTGGCGAAGATAGCAATAAAACAGGCTATGCTAAGTTGTTGCGTTTGCAGATTGGTTGCTTCGGGGCCTGTTCGGAAATTACACTCACGACAAAATGTGTAAAAATGTGACAGTTTCTCTCCCCACTTTGATCCCTATTAAGCACAGTCCTCTCATTTAATTCAATATCGCCGGAGGGAGACGGAATAATCATTTGTGATCCTTCGGGATGCGTGTCTTTGGAAACCATAAATAGTCCTAACTTTTTACTTTGCGCTTCTTCAAAAGGGTTTAAAATCTTCTGGGGTTTATGTGTTAGAATACATGTTAGCTCGGGGCGAAAATGCGCCAAATACAATCACAAAGTTCCAGTTAAAACGTGCTAAGGTGATACGTGGAACGCTGCAAACGGGCCATGCACGTTTAGATCCACTCGTAGCACTAAAGGTAAACCACAATTGTAATAATTGTGTCTTCTATACATTGCAGCATAGTTTACATTTTAAAGGGAAAACACACAGAAATTGAAAAAAAAAAAATCGAAATTGAAATCAAAATTAGCAACATTGTAAACCAAATTAACAAAAAATGCCAATGTACTGTGACCAAGCTCTGTTGATACTTTGCAGCTGATATCATCATCTTTCCATGGGGTTGTGATGCTAACTGGAGGCTCTGCTCTGTCTGCAGCTCTGTTCCTCAGGTCAGACTTAGGTTATGTTTACACTGAAACGAATCACCGAATCACCGTATCGGAAACTATTTGCATCCAGACACGTTGTTTCTGTGTCCACAAGCCTTTTCTATCCACACAGCTTTGAGCATATTTGTTTAAGTTTTACAGAAACGACACTTAAAACCACATGTCTAATTTGCCTAAACTAAGCGTTCAAAAAACAGCTCGCTATTGTGTGCTGATGCGGTTCAGCTTCTGTCGGACTAAAGGACACGACTCAATAGAATATGAGTGTTCTTTCTGTGACAGAGGGGTGTTCTGCTAATGGTGAGTCTGTTCGGTGTTTCTATTGCGTTGGAGATAGTTCATATTAAACTTTTCAGAGATTATACGTCTGCAGGTCATACGCATAGACCATATATATATGCATAGCCTCTTAGCGTTTTGGCAGTGAATTACTTTGTGGCACATAGACCTACATCAGCGTATCAGCGTCTTCAGGCGTCCACACTGTGCCGGATCAGATCCGTATTCAGACAAATTCATGGGAGCTGGCGGCACCAGATCGTTCCGTCTTTGGAGCAGTTTTCCATCGGATCAGTGTGGACGAACACTGCATCCACAACAAAAACGATTCAAATACGTACTAGTGTGGACGGGGTCTTAAATCTGAGGTTTGTTTTAACACAATCTGACCAGAAAGAACTGAGTTGGATGGAACTACAACAACTGAGAGAGCCACCAAACCAGGACTATGAAAATGTGTTGTTTAAAACCACTTTGTATTTTTTCTTGAGTTTTCAAAAAACTAAAACTTGTCATGTCCCATTTGCTCATGTGAGCATTGTGTAACTGCTGAACATTCCTCCATAGACATACATGCAGAACCCCCTTCCACACCCCCCAGCGTGATGTCACTGCAAAGTATCAATAAACGAACTCTTATGAATTTAGAATTATTTTAATATTTAAAGCTTTCTGTATACATAGTTACACATTTGTTGTTTTTCTTTCTGTATATGTGCACTTTGAAAATATTTCCCAGATTTTTTTTTTCTTTTCTTTTGCACCTGTAAAACTTTGAAATCCCAACATAAACATCATTTCAAAACCAATAGATTTCCCCACGTACCCACATAGTACCAGATAAGCGAAGCTGCGTAGAATATATAGCCTCTATTTCCCATTGTAATAGCCATGTTTTATATTCACAATGCCAGCACAGGTCTCACTCAATAACAGAGTGCTACAAGTACAAGTGTGAAGGGCGACCAAGGGACAAAAATAATAACACAAGTGCTTCTCCTCCTCCCTCACCACCTCCACTCATTTTAATGTAAATAGTCCTCTAAAACAGCTGCTACAGACTCATGGAGACAGACGTGTGCCAAATTTTGAACAACTAAGATGTGATGTGAAGGAAAACTGTTTCATTAGCCACTCTTTCTTCTGGAGATAGACATCAATAGACAGTTCGTGAACATTAAAGCTCCTATATTACCCAAAACTGACTCTTGTGAGCTTTAAGCCATCTTCAAATGTTGTCACCTCCTCAAAAATATACCCAGAGCTGTGTAGTGTTTCATTAACACGTTTCGGTAATGGCCCACTGTGCATTATTATTAGTCTGTCTAAAACTCCAAAGCACAAAATGGTCTGTTCATCCTTGTGATGTCATTAAGTGGTATTTTTCAAGTTAAGAGCTACTTTTTACCTTCACTTCAGTAGAGATTGGCAATTCCTGGTCTGAAATCACCCAAATTATTCTAGTGAAGGCATATGGTATAGGTATTATATTCGAATTACCACATGATATCACAATGTTTGAGAAAGAACTCAGCCTAAGCGTGCAGGGTTTGTGTAGCCAGGCTGGTGCCACCTAAGGCGCCCGCTCAATAAAAATTTTTTTCCAGCTACTAAGTCAGGAATCGGAATACACTAGACAGTTCGCAAAACCCCCGGAAGTGAGAGTTTGGGCACCAGCCAATCAGCGAAGAGCCATACATTCTGTGTTGGCAACGATTCCTGAGATCGAGGATTTAAAGCCGGAACAAAAAGAATGTTCGGTGAATTTTATCAAGGGGAAAAACATTATTGCCCTTCTTCCTACGGGATTTGGGAAAAACTTGATATACCAGTTCGCCCTGTTAACAGCCCATTACGTACGTCAAGACCAAAAGCAGCGACTGGTTAAATGAAAAAAGTACCCGCCTATTGTCAAGCGAACGAATTCTAACGCTGCAAGGTCAGACTGATGAATCAGGCTAGGGTTTGAGTGTTAGACATGTGTGAATGAAAGAAAACTAAATTCAGAGTATTAATTAATGTAGATTTCAATTTGTGAATGAATGGACAGCCATACAGAGTGAGTATTTTTGGTAACACTTCAGTTAAGGACCACATAGACTACAGTAAAATGCATAGTAAGTGCTTAATTGCGTCTTTGTTAGTATACGTATTCATGCTTTTAGTCCATGTTATTAGTGTTCATTAGCATTATTAGATATAGATGCTATTGTACATGTATTTTCATGCTACCAAAAACTGGACAACTACGAACTAGCATACAGTTTCCTCTTGGTTAGTGATTAATATGTGGTCCTTATACTTAATTTTAATCGATATTGAAATTTGGTCTACTTTACCAAAAGAATGTTAATTGTTAAATGTTCATTTTTATGTCCAACCAGTAAATCAACTTGACTTTTTATTTTAAAGCACACCCAAATTAAATCTATTTACAATCTTTTATGACGTATCTTTTTAAATAAGTTATACTGAGTCCTAACTGTATTAACTGAATGCACCACGGAGCAATAAAACAATTGAAAAGAAACCCATTAGTCGTGTTGTATTTTTGGCACAAATCTATCTCCATACAGTTGTCGGTACCACATATACCCACACACATCCAAGACAGTTATGCTACCTTCAAATGTAAGGTCAGTGCAAATAAACCAAGTAACAGACTGAAAGCTACAGTAAACACGAGCCCCAGAGCTGACCAGCAGCGGTTAAATCACCTCAAGTAACCCAGCCTCCTCATGACCACCCCGCACACGTCCTCCACCATCCTTATGTCTTTCCGGGGCATGTTGCTTCTCCACGCGTTGATGTTCGCCGGAGAAATGTCCCCTTCGTACATCAAGTTGTACAGATTCGTCGAAGTAGTGAACATGAGTTGGTTCAGGGCGGCGGGGGACAGGGGCACCCCCAGGAAGGAATGAATAGTCTCTGCCGTTTCCTGGGGGTAGCTGACTAAGTCCTCGAACCTCACGTGGAGGTAAGAGTCTTGTGGGATGGTTCTGCTCACCCTTAGAGCCGCCGCGGTGTGAGCTAGCCACAGGTGCGCGAGGATCATGACGGGGTTTGTCTCGGAACGGGAGAGCAACCTGCGGATTAGTTTAAACTCCGGCGCCACAGCTGGGCACCCATCCCTGGCAGAATTCTCCTTGAATATCAAAGAAAGGTGTTGAGGAATGTTCTTGAGCGAATAAAGGCTGGGTTTGCTGTTATAAAGCATCAGATAAATCCATGCCCGGGGGTCTCTCACTAAATAGATTGTCCGCAAAGAGGGTCCGACTACTTCCTGGATAAAAGGAAGTTTGAGTGGCCAACTTCCACTTCGCAAATAAAGTACAACGCGTGCACTCCGGTACTCCGCGACATGGCGTCTCAAATCTCGAATATATTCCACATCCCTGTCTAAATTTGCTTTGAGTTTTCCCCTTAACTCAGACGCCGCTTCTCGTCTTCGAAAGTGTTTCTTTTTATCCCTTACAATATTGACACTTTTCATTTTTGTGACTCTGCTATCCTCCACTAGCTGAATATTTTGCAAGTGGAGTTTAATGTCGTAGACCAGCGAGTGAAGCCAGCCTTGGATGATTTTAAAGCGGCCCTGAATAGCGTCTGACCTCGACCACTCGCAGTCGTCCACCAAAGAGTCAAATTCGTATTCCGTCTCCGGGATGTCCAGGTGCTCCGTCGGAACACGGATGTAAACAAAGTCGGAATTGTTGTAAAAAAGATGCTTCAGAATCTCCGCGCCAGAACCGGGCAGAGCTGTGATGAGGACGTTGGGGAGAGGCAGCCGCTGTTGCTCGTACTGCCTGATTTGCTTGTTGACTTCGTTTTGCGGGTCCGTCCCTTTCCATTTGACCCCGCAAAGGAGCTTATCGCAGCTATTCGAAACAAATAACAACTCGGCAATCCAGAGAAGTAGGACGCCGAGGAGGGCATAGCGCATGAGTCTGCTGAAGCACACATAAAACTTCCTCTGCAGGGTGAGAAATCCTACGGCTACGCACAGGATCACTCCGGCTATAACATTCACTGTAAACACAAAATCAAACAGCTGATTATCGCTGCTCATTTGCTTCGGAATGAGTTGCGTTCCGAGGCCGAATCTCGTCACTTGATACGAGTCTTCCACTTTGCAATGCCCGCCAAATCCTAAATAACTCAACCTCGCGCCGATATCTTGGTAGTTAGTTGCTATAGAGACAATATTTTCAGTGTTATTGATAACGATGGAAAGTCTGACTCCGTTGTGGCTGTTGTCTATGAATCTACAGTTGGATACTTTGACATAGGGGCCGTGCATTATATAGGCGACCCTAGCGATATTGTTCGTCATTGAAAAGGTGACATTGACGTATTGTGTCCACCTCTTTTTAAACTCGGCTGCCTGCTCCGCCTCTTGTATTCTCGTGTCCGGACTGTGACCCTGCGTGTCAAACCAGAACATTTTATAATGAGCATCCCACACATCCATCATGGCGCCGTTATACCTGTCCATGAATTTAAAGGGGACGTACTTGAAGTCAATGTCAAGGTTGTGGAAAAAAGCGCTGAAGGAATTTATGGGGGAGTCCGGGAACTTTTCAACGTGGTCGACGACTAGAAGCGTTTGGGAGTTCAGTAGGACCAGCGCGCGGTACACACTTTTGAGTCTCATGGCTGGGGAGTAAGCGTTCACCGCCTCTCCACTTACAAACATAGTGTCCCTGTGAGCAGAAGCAACTACCACTTCTCCCCGAGTATCTCCTACCCCTTCATCAGTCCATCGCAACCACTTGGCGCACTCCCCTAACTGCCCCTCCCACGGGCTGTTGCACTGGCTGGTAGGAGACGGACCGAAAACCAAAACATTGTTCAGATAGCTATACTTAGGCCCGTAAAGTGCTTCCGAAACAAAAACCTGCCCATTGGGTGCAAACGTGAACGAATTCTGATCTGGGTGCTCGTGCCCCGGATTGAAACTATTCCAATCGTTGACCCAAGAGTAAGGCTTGTCGTGGACTATGTCATAAACCGCGCGGCCACCCAGCTTGCCGGATTTAAATGAGACAAAAGTGTTACCCTGTGAAATTGGCAGTCCCGCTCCGTAGGTCACCACACCCCAGTTTGAAAATATATGCATCTTCGGCCTCCCGTAGCCGTGTGGGGGCTGCGGCGGGAGGTGCGGGTTAAACCAAATGAACTCTGTGTGGAGGGTGGCCCAGCGCTGCGCCGCCGAGGGTCCCATGGGTCCGTCTTTCGGCCTGTGCTTTCTTATCTGTTGAGCCAGCCAATTCCCCGTGCCGTTTTTTATCACAAACGTATCAAGGAAAACAAGCTGGCTTTCGGGACCGTAAAACCAGTTATAGTTAGAATCTGCTATGCCAACTGTTCGCTGGAAGCCGGGCAGCAGCGTGGCATAGTAGAACCAGAAGTGCGCCCGCAGCCAGTTGTTCTGAGTGTTGTCGATGTTGAAATGGCGTTGAGCTAAAAAGACGTACTGGGTGACAGACTTGGCGGTGTAGCTCCCGTAGGCCACTCCTTCGTCCAGGGAGCCGTCCACGATGTGATTCAGCAGGAACATGGTCTTCTCCATGTAGTTCACAGACACTTGTTTCCACATCATCGATTCAGGGTCGTTGTGTGAGCCCACCACGATTGCACCTAGGAAGATAGGGCAAGAGAATTTAGCAAAGCATGAAAAGTAGAAAGTAAAAACTGTTGCAGCATGACAAAACCTGTGCATGTATACTTTAAAGGGACCATATGACACTATTTTCTGATCTTTGTTATAATATTGTTCCCTCATCGCAAAAATACCTGGAGTGTTTTGTTTCATTCACACATTTTTAACACTGTTAACTTCAAATCTACACTGCTTCATGACATCACAAGGTGCAACAGAGCATTTTGAGCTTTAGAGATGTAGACAAACTAATAATAAAGGGTTACTCAAACATTTGAATGAAACCGGGTATGTTTTTGAGGAGGGAACATTATTACATGGCTTATAAAAATGGCTTTGCATAATATAGGACCTTTAAAGATGCACTTTGTAATTTTTCTCATGGAAGGTTGCCACATGGTATATGGATGCCATGGCTTTGTGTAGGACAGGGGTGGGCAAACTTTTTGACTCGTGGGCCACAAAGGGTTCTAAAATTTGACAGAAAGGCCGGGGCAGGAGCAGATGGATGGAGTTTTTGGTAATCCACCTCATAAGAGAAAACAATGACATGGGATATGTCGAAAACATACCCCATGCTACTGAAATATCTCATAATTGAAAATCATTACAAAGCACTACAACAAAATATCTGTCTTTCAATTCCGACGGTGTTTACTATTTATAGAAATGACTTTTAAAAACAATGAAAATGATTATTATTATTACTACTATTCAAGTTTGGCGGACTGGATTAAAAAGATTAAAGGGCGGCAAATGGCCTCTGGGCCGTAGTTTGCCCATCCTTGGTGTAGGAAATTCCACAGTATTGTATTAATTTCCCTTCGTACTTGGCCACCGAGCCAAATTACAGGTTAGATCATAGAAGACGGTGCATGCTCATAGTAAGAAAATATGCTTTTCAAGACATTTTTAGCGATTAAAGGGCCCATATTACACTACTTTGTGATCTATGTTATAGTGTTGTTTCCTCATCACAAACAGACCTGGAGTTGTGTTTTGTTTCATTCACATGTTTAACACATTTTTAGGCTGAGTTCTTCTCTCAAATGGGAAATACTCAGTTTCATGTTGTAATGTCATCTGGTAATGCAGGAAGTTTTTAAACTCCATACACCTTCACTAGAATCATTTGGATGATTGCAGTCCTGGAATTGCTGATCTCTACTGAACTAAAGGTAAAAGTAGTTGTTAACTTTAAAACTACCACTTCATGACATCACATGGTGGAACAGAGCATTTTGAGCTTTGGAGATGCAGACAGACTAATAACGAAGGATTGTGTGAATGACTCAGGTTATGTTTTTGAGGAGATAACAGCATTCTAACATGGCTTAAGGCTCACAAGAATCAATTTTATTTCAGTTTAATGCCAGACTTTGGAACATTTCACCAAAGCAGTAACATTTCCAGCTCTGCACAGTTACATAGTACAGCTTTAAAACACTTGGGCCCATGAAATAAATAAGTTATACATTGGTTTTGTCAGTTTAGTCTAGACTTTAGTCCTGGTTTAGTCTTCTTAAGTTCTGGTTTAGACCTTTTGCTTACATTATACACATTACATTTACAAAAGAAATTATATAAAAACCCCACCTATTATTATTCCTATGGTTTACACATTTTCATACATAGACTGTAGTTGTAAGGAGTAAGGTTAGAAGTAGTGGAAAGAATAATATACTCTAACTGGCAAAAAATCACTACGTCTCGAAGTAAGGAACTGGGTCAGAGCTTTTCATTAACAATCACTACAGGTTCAGCAACTTAAAGAAGGACAACTTGATTACACTTAATAACCAGGTTTAATTGATTACATGGTTCAGGGAGCTGTAAACATTCCTTCCGCACATACTTCGGAGTCTAAACCCTCGTTGCCAAGCTGGGAGCTCTCACGTAGTGCACAATAAAAGGTGCAGTATGTACATTTTTTAGCCGAGCGTCTGTCACCTGGTTGTCCCCGTGGCGATGTTAATGCTTTGCCTGGTATGTCCGATAGCACGGCATTAAACTTCAACAATCAGAGCAAGTTACAGGTCAGATCTATGAAGAGGCAACCCAGCTCAATGTAAAAATAGAATAGTTTAATACTAGTGGTGTAACGATATCCAAGTCTCACAGTACGATATCGTCAATGATATGAATCTCACGGCATCATATTTATTGCGATATCGTGGAAAAGCTCAGGATATGGTGGGGGGGTGCGATATTTATTGAGATATTTTGTGGAGGCTGTGAACTTTTCCTCTTAAAATGCCTTGACAAGACTTAATCCAAAGACTTAAAAGTGCTTAGAACTGTTATTTCTTCTTATAGTCTACACTGAATTGGAGAAAAGGATCATGGTCTATGTAGTTCCCTCTGCCTATTGCTGCACCGTAACTCTTCATTTAAGCAAAGAGATATTATTGTGAACTTTGACAATGCGAAATCACGATATTTCGGTTATTGTTACATCCCTATTTAATACCGTACTCTGGTGAACATTCCAGGCAAAGCAATAACTTCTTATGGAGACACTTATGATGAGTTTCTTTTTTTTTTGACTGGTTCTGACATTGAATCTCGAAGAATTTGAGGATTACTGTGAATTCTGGTCAAATATAAAAGATTCTATATATGCAAAATTGATTCTTCTGAGCTTTACGCCATGTCAAAACATTGTTTCGCCATCAAAAAACGAACCCAGAGTTGTTTTTGATGAAGTCTGTCTGCGTCTCCAAAGCTCAAAATGCTCTGTTCCAGCTTATGATGTCGCGAAGCAGTAGTTTTTAAGTTAACATCTAGCTTTTACCTTAAGTTCAGTAGAGATTGGCACTTCGAGGGCTGCAATCATCCAAAAGATTCTAGCGGTTGTGTATGAAAACAAAACATCCCCAAGTATGAGGAAACATCAAGAAACAGGAAACATACAAAACATAGAAAATAGCGTAATAGGGGACCTTTAAAGGCTAACATTTTCTCAACTTGTTCTTTTCTATTCTCAGACTTCTCAGATATGAATAGTAATTTGATACTTTTACTCAATTACCTGTGAGTATAGCCAGCACATTGGTCGTCTGGTGGTTCTGGAGGTACTGCTTCCCCCACCCTCTGTACTTGGAAAGCTCGTACAGCTCTTCCGTCTCCGCTCGGATCTTTTTGAGGTAAATCTCTCTCCGGCGCTCGTCCAGGAACGAGTAAATGAAGTCGTAAGCGGTCGCGAATCCGGTGAGGGAGTGCGCCACCGGTACCTCGTCGTTCGGCGCGCTGGCAACTTTCCAGTCGGGGTACGCCGCCATTCTGTCCATGAACTTGATGAGGAACTGCAAGGCGGAACTATCCTCCGGGCAAAGCAGGCAGTAGAGCGCCAACGGTGGTAGATCATTGCCGAAATTCTCGTTCCACTTGCTGGTGAATTCCTCGTGTTTGGCGGGAGGCATGTAGAACGGAACATTGGACAGCATGGTCAAAACCGCCGCTCGGATAACTTTGAAAATGTGGCTGTGTGTGGTCCCCGATTTCTGCCTCAAGTGCGGAATGTCGGCTTGGTTGAAGTACAAGTTCGGGTGGGAATCGGAGGAGCGAATTTTCTCCGGTACGGGCTTGGCAGGCAGGAAGTTGTCCGTCAAAATGTCCCGATCGGTCGTGTTGAAGAAGACGCCAGAGAAACCGGAGGCGATGGCGAAATTTGGCAGGAAAAGTAGAAAATATAGCAAAGTAAAAACCGCCATGTTTTTGCACTTCTCGTCGGTAATTTTACACCAAAACATCTTTGTTAGTCATTGCAATGTCCGGTAAAGACAGATAAAAGTTGCAGAAGAGAATAAATGGTGTAACATGGTAATTTTTGAAAAGTAGTCCCTTTAAAGTTCAGTGTTAAGTTCTGATATAGACATGTGGACTTGCGCTGTTGTCAAAAATGTCACACAAAATGTAAAAAATTAAAACCCACAAGTCTTTGATGAAAAAGAATGACATCCTTCTTAATAAACTGTAAAAAAAAAAGTTGCAGCAGTTCATGTCAGATGCTTGGTTCAAGTTTCAAAACTAATGCGAGATTTCCACTTTGAATCTTTGCCTTAAAAGTCTCAAAAACTGCAGCCAAAATGAAAGTTTCAAGTTCCAAAACATGTGATTTCATTGTCCCGTGCGTTACTGTCTGTTGAACGCGCCAAACTTCAGTGCCACCTTTGCAAGCAGTCCGCAAAGACGTAAAGAAAAAAAAAAAAAAAACAGTAGAAATTCCACGCTACTTCTGTGTTAAATCCACGCTCGTGCACCTTGTCGACGTTGTAATCCTATAGCGTTACTCCTGTATCAAGTGTCCTCTCCTTCTCCGCGCTCGTATCGATCTTCTTCTTACCCCCCAAAACAAAAGACATCCCCGGTACGCGCGCATCGTTCAGCCCCAGTCCGCGTTGGGTCCGCTCACAGACGTCCACAAGCTCCGTGGGCAGCCCGGGGAACCGCGAGCCCCAGCCGCCTCGTCCGCGAACGTCTCCTCTGCAGCGAACATAGTCAGCGCTCGTCTCCTTATGTTGTGCGTGCGCTATCACAAGACAGCACCTCTCCAGACGATTTCTCTCCTCCTCACTCTCTCCTCTCGTCTGTCCCTCATGTTCTATCCCACCTTCCTACCTTCCTGCTGCGTTGCTTATAGTCCAAAAAAAAAAAAAAAAAAAAAAAAAAACAAGGAAAGTTGTCGTCACTCTTCAAGTATCCACAGACCCCATTGCGCACAGAAAACGCAGGTAAATCACGCGTGTGTTCCGTGAAGGTGATGCGCAACGGTCGCGAACTGCACGTTTTTTTTTGGATAGTCAGACGTTCCGGGAGACGTACACAGGATGCGATAGTAGTACGAGTGATCCACAGGCGCACCTCGGTCGCGTCCTCTCTCTCCTCTCTCTCCTCTCGGAATGATTGTTTGGCTCGGAGCGGATGGAGCGGGGGGGACGGTGCGCGGTACGCACTGTAGAGGGAGCCGTGGTTGCAGGATGGCGGGCGCGCTGGTGCCGTGGCGGAGAGGGAGAAGCGAGCGGCGCGCGGATGAGCCTGCTCGAGTTCTGCCTCACCGCGCTGTGCTTAACGCGGCTCCCGGCTCACGGTGAAGGCGCACGGGAGATAATGAGGAGGAGATGCAGTGATGTAATAACGCTGTCTGCTCGTGTACTGATCGTCCTCTCTGCGTAATAGTGCAGCCGTGATGAGGTTCAAGTAATTACAGCTCTACATGTAAATGGTACTCTAACTAAATATTTCATGGAATTGGATCATAATAGGCTATTATTCAAGAATATTATAGTCCACGGTATGATTTTCTGCAGACAGTAAATTAAAACTGTAGCGTGAAGTTGTTAGGGAAGGAGGAAAAAAAAAGAAAAAGTAAAGAACATATGGCAAGGCGTCTATTTGTATGACACAGTTTGTACACAAAGTAATTTAAAGTGCTTTACAGAATAAGAAAGACGTTCAACTCAGAATACAAGCAAATCAAAACATAAAATTAACATTAAAGGTGCACTGCGTAATATTTGTGACACAAGTGGAGGGTCCGCCACTCGCTTGACTCCATGGAAATGTTACTGCTTTGTCTAGAATGTTCCTCAGTATAGAGCAGGCATATCCAAACTGCGGACAGTGGGCTAAATGCGGCCCCCAGACAATTTTTTCTTGGCCCTCAGGCTTCCAGTAGCTGATTCATCAGCCTGGTTTCACTTTCGTACAAACTGTCTGACCTCGCAGTGTTAGGATTCGTTCGCTCGACAGTAGACGGGTGCTTTTTGTCATTTAACCAATCGCTGCTATTCGGTAGTCACTTATGTAATGCACTGCTAACGGGGCTATATTAAGCTTTTCCTAAATCTCGTTGATAAAATTCACCAAACATTCTCTTTATTCTGGATTTAAATCCTTGATCTCGGGAATTGTTGCCAACACAGAATGTATGACTCTTCGCTGATTGGCTGGTGCCCGAACTTGCACTTCCAGGGTTTTTGTGAACCATCTAGTGTATTTTGATTCCTGACCTTAGTTGCTGGAGAGAAATTAAATTGAGCGGGGGCACTAGGTGGTGCCAGGCTTCCAGGTGAATTGACCCAAATCACCTTGCATCAATTAAAAATTTACTTTTTACAACAAGTTATTTGAAAATCTGCCTTGATATTTAATATTTAGTGTGTGGTTTTAAGGATCTTAGCATGAATAAAGACTGATGGCTCATTCTAACATGTTAAACATGCACATATTTCAATTATTCACTGTATTCGGCACCAGTCTACGGCCCCTGATCGGCCCTCTGCTTCATCTGTCTTTAGATATGTGACTCTTGATGAAAAAAGTTTGGACACCCCTGGTATAGAGCAAACTTATGTATCATGAGGCAGACTATGCTACATTACAATTCAAATCTGTGGAGAGTTGCCCCCGTTCATAGAGGGATAGAAGAATTTGCGCATTTTTTGAGCAATAGAAACACCTGTAATAAATGTGAGTTGAATGGAACATTCCAGGCAAAGCAATAACATCTCCACAGAGACAAGCAGGTAGCAGACCCTCCAGCAGAAATTTGCACAGTGCACCTTTAAAAGAGAAGAAAAAAGACTGCAGAATTAAAACCTGTCAGATTTAAATACTGCGGTTGTCTAGAAACAGTAGAACCTTTAACAACACGTTAATTTCAGTAAAGTAGCCCTAAAATGGTAAATACTCACATTTATTACGACTCTTCTATCTACAACAAACTCACAGCGCTTCACATCAAGGAAACACTCCCCATTCACACACATATTCTTACACCAGTGTGTGGAGAAAAAAGCGAGGCGGGTTAAGTGTCTTACCCAAGGACGCAACATCATCTGTGGTAGCTGGAATTGCACCGCCAACCTGTGGGTCAAGGGTTCTGACCGCTGATGTACAGTATGTCAAGGTATTCGCAGTAACACAAGTATTACACTATGCACATCCAAAGTAAAGGCTGTAATAAGAGCCTGCAATGACTCAGCTGGAAGAGCAGTCGCCTTATGACCATGCGCCAACTATTGTTATGTCTTTGGGCAAGACACCGTGTCCAAACAACAACGACGTCTTTCAGTTTCTTGTTGAAATTAGTTGTTGAAATAAGGTAAAATCACTGAAAACACTTTTTTACAGTGCAGATGAAATGGAAATGACTTATTGTGACCTGAATAATCTGTTTAATTAACCTGATAATCTTGGCATTCACACTTTTTAACACTGAAGCAATAATGTGAGTTTTACTGTCTTTCCTTCTACTTGTTGGAGTGCACTTTTGTATCACTTTGGTTCAGAGGTAGTTTTCATTTACAAGGGTAAATAAATAGCAGCATGCCTTTAGTCCTACTTGAGTCATATTTCTAAGGAAAAAACAGTTCTCTTTAGTGAAAGTTTTGCTTCATCTTCTCGTGGTGAGTAAGTCTGAGTAAGAGTGAGTAAGAGCTTAAAGTCAACAACATGAAATGATCTGAACATTTGTGTTTCTTGAACTTCTCCTTCAGATAACATCTTACTTGAGTACAATTTTTGTTTACTCTGCCAACTTCTGTGTTTGGTCCATTTTAGTTTCAGCAGGTTCAACCAAACATTCAATAATATAAACGTCAAAAACAATCAGCCATCCAGTGAAAAGTTTCAGAGTTTCCATTTTATGCTTTGATCAGCGGGGACAGTCCGTACTCGTCTGCACTGCCTGAACTCTGAGCAGTTACACAGACACTTTACGCTGTGAAAAGAAAGAAGCTGATTGGTTAAAGCTGATAATCTATCTATTCTGTTTAGTCTGACCTTGGACAATACACACAACAGCTAAAGTTTTAAAGCAAGATGTAGTGTCTTGGCAAAAAACTTTTCCATTTTTTGTTTTTTGGTCAGTTTGGTCTCTGAGCATCCGAGCTTTCATGTGGAAACAACAGAAGAGTTTTCAGTCACATCTAGTTCACTCAAATACTAAAGAAGAAATCCAAAATCTCCTCTGGATATTTTTTAGTATCTAACGTGACAACAAAATGAAGCAAGAAATTTAAACCCGGTTCTTTTCTGTTTCTGTTTTGAATGTCCTTAAGATTGTCAATTTTACATATACATATACACACACATATTTAAAATGAAAATATTACACACATTTTCTTTTTTTTACATTTATTTGAGTAAACTACAGAAGAAGTTTCAAATTGATATTTCTTAATTTAGGATTTTTTTCTATCCACCTAAAGTCTTGTGTCTCGCCTTAAAGGGCCCATATGACACTATTTTCTGATCTGTGTTCTAATGTTGTTTCCTCATCACAAACAGACCTGGAGTTGTGTTTTGTTTCATTCACACAAATTTAACACACAAACCCTGCAGATGTAGGCTGAGTTCTACCTTGTGATGTCATGCAATAAAAGAGGAAGTGCTCCACTGTGTTTTTAAACTCTACACACCTTCACTAGAATCATTTGGATGATTTCAGACCTGGAATTGTCAATCTCTCCTGGACGAAAGGTTAAAAGGAAGCTTCAGGACATCACAACGTAGAAAAGAGCATTCTGAGTTTTGGAGTTGTAGACAGACTAATACCGTATTTTCTGGACTATTGAGCGCACCTGAATATAAGCTGCATCAACAAAATTTTTACAAAATTTTAAAATTGTACATATATAGTCCGCACCTGAATATAAGTCCGTTGGTGTCCACATCTTCAAGAATGTTTTCAAGTTCGGCCCATCTGCTTTTATCACCTCTGAAAGTTTTTGTCGTCTTTTTGCATTGAGTCAGTTCTTCACGCTGCCATCGCCAAAATCTCACCATCGATTCACTGATGTCGAGCTCACGTACAACAGCTCGATTTCCTTCTTTGACAGCCACATCAATCACTTTTAACTTAAAAGCTGCATCATCTGCATTTCCATGACAAGGGTGTGTATGAAGCACAAAATAACTGTTCAAAACACAATCAAACCAGCATCTTCCTCGGCGCATCACCCCGTGTCTCCCCGCACATGTCTCCTGCAAGAGCCTCTGTCCTGTCTGTATCATGTCAGGGTCTTGGAGGATTTC